AGATTGAACTTGAAGAGGTGATATGATATGTAAGAGTAATGTATCTGATCTACATATATCTTTATCTAGAAATGTATCACAATAATAGAATCTATCTAAAAAATTACAAATAATTTTGTATTCAACTTTCGGCTTCTCTGAGTTTATTTCATATTTTAGAAATAGTATTCTTCTTCTTCTTCTTGTTTTGGTTACCTCAAACAACAGCCACACAAAATTGATAATTAGCTGAGGCAATAGCTGATCAAGCGTGTCAATATCTTTGGAGAATCTGGACATAATGCGACCCACCGGCGTGGTATCAAAGTATCTCAGCGGTGCAGCCACCACATGATGCAAAAGGAAGGCGTGTAGCAATTTAGATGCACGCAAGCCCCCAATTGCGGGCACCACAATCCTTACGACGGACAAAAAACCTGAAGATTGAAGATATATTTCTTTGAAGTTTTTCTTTAGACATTTTCCAGATCTGAGTGCGATTACTAGAGCAGTTAATTTGCATTTCATGCTATTGCGATCAATCACGATTAGAATCTCAAACCAAAGCGACAGTAAAGTTTTGATTAGTTTATCAGATTAGTTGAGGTGCGCTGGGACAGGAATTTTATAATGATATAAGGGCTTTTTTTTTTTTTTTTTTGACGGATAAAATCTTATACAGTACATCCTCTCTAAGGTGAAAATTTTATAAAATAAATTGAAAATTATAGCTCAGAGGCTGATGTTGAAGAAAAAATAAGTCTATTATTTGAAGAAACAAATTTAAATTTGAAAATAAGATATTTTAGATAAATAATTTAAGAAGAAAAAAAAATAATTTTAAAACATTAAATATAATTAAAAATAAAATAATAAAATAACAAAATTTATAATGATTTCAGGGTTTTAAGCCGGACATTAATAGGGAGGCTGTACTGTACTTTTGTTCTACTAGTATTTTCTTTGCTGTAGCAAATTGTAATCCCATCTAGCGTTGGGTAATACTCTAATTGGAAATTACCTCAAATGCACACCAAATACAATCGATCAAGACCTCCACAATTTTCTGATCGACCGTTTCAATGTCTTTCGAGAAACGAGACATAATGCGACCCACTGGCGTGGTATCGTTGAACCACATAGGAGCGCGCAGGATACGGTTCAGCATGAGCGCGTGTAGCTGCTGAGCGGCATGCAAACAGCCCAGCTGAATGCCCAAATCCGCGAGGAACGAGGCGATACCTGCGATATGTGTATATCAGTGCATCAAGTATCGAAACAGTATTTAAAGTTTTTTAGACAGCATAGAGACTAATAGAAAGAAAAATAACAAAGCATGCCCGCTCGAAACACTAGATATATAGATATATGATATATGGTATATGGGTTTCTTGTATGTACAGGCGTCTATAGACATGTAGAGTATCCTTTCAACGGTCTTACAAGTTGCTACGACTTTAGTTAAGGCAAGGTGATGTTAGTTTTAATTTTGTTTTTATTATTATTATTATTTTTTTTTTTTGTTAGTCACGAGCACAATTAGTTGGACAACATACCCGAAACGCTTGCGAGTTAAACACACGAATTATTTCGGGCAATACCATATCCAATTTGTAAACATCATTGGACAACCGATCGAGTATCCGACCCCTCGGTTGCCTATCGAAAAAGGACTGTGGAGCACCCAGAATTCGACTAAACAATTGGCAAAAGAGTTTCTGTGCACCATGCAGACCACCAATATAGACGATCAGGACGCAGGCTATATAACTAATAACTGCAAGTTGGGGAAGGAAAAGATTAGGGATATCACAGGAGACGGTAAGACATTTGAGGTTATACACGACGCAAGTTTTGGTTGGTTTAGTTAAAAATAACGAATATATAATATAGAATTAGTGCGATTCGTTTTTATATATTTTGGGAGTGTTGGACAGTACGTGGTATGGGTATGGGATGTAGCTGATTGTTGAAGAAAAGGATTTCCTGCTATAAGCTGTGCCTGCATGGTACATGAATACCTAACTCTAAATTTATACTATATAAATAGGCGCAGAATGATAAGGAGAGACACCCACAAATTTATTTCGATATTTTCGTCAATAATAAAGTCTACATTTTAACCAACAAAAATAGAAACAATCAGAACTAATATGCCCAGCGCAACTTTTCCAAGTTCAATATGTGATTAGTTTATTCCTTTTTTTTTTTGCTCTCAACAAGAAGTGAACAAATTATAAAACACATATGAAAAATCAAGAAACAAAATAGGAAAAACAAAAAATTTCACTGCAAAACCTACTGAAAAGTAAGTGAAAAATGCATTGGACATTGCTTAGAGAGTGGAAAGAGTGAAGGGTTTACCTGAAACGCTGTGCTCAGGCACATTCGTATATTTAGGGGCATGACCAGATCCAGGCAGTTGATATCGTTCGAACAGCGATCCAAAATACGCCCCTTGGGCGTCGTATCGTAAAACGCAGATGGGCAATGCATGAGGTTATTAAAGAGTTGGCGAAACATATTGAATGAGGCGTTTAGAGTGGATGTGAAGAGTGTGATGGCGGCGCCGTAATTGCAAAGACCTACGTAGATATATATGATATGTGATGGATAGAGAGTTATAGAGAATCAGAGATCAGAGATCTTTGGTGTAAGAGTCTTAAATTCTAGGAAATTAAACTAAATGTAGCTCGTAAGTACAAACCGTAACACAAATGTGGGCTACAAAAAAAAAATTCAAAGAAAACTCACGCGAAAAACAGAAAAATTGGAAAATAGAAGAAATTGAATACAAAAAATACCACAAATATATAGGTCATGCAAGAGTCCAGGGTGCCGGGCAACTCTTCGTCGACAACATCCATATCGGCGCTGAAACTGTTCAAGATACGCCCCAAGGGCGTTACATCGAAAAAGCGACATAGTGAGCCGCGAATCACCTGATGGAGCAATTGATTGTGCAATTGCTTGGCAGCTCGCAGACCGCCGCAATAGACAATCACGACCGCAATGTAGGCAAACACACCTAGGGAACGGCATGGAATGGAACGCAGAGATGCGCAACATTTATCGATAAACATTAGTGGGCATTAACAGTAAGTGAGTGTAATGCGAATTGAAATGGGCGCGTTTATCACTTAATATATATTCCATGAAACCACACTCAAACCAGAGTCTCCCCCCATAAGCCATAGCTTCCAAAACTCTATTATCGATATTAATAGGCGTTGATAATTGCCATTGTTGTTTGCTCTGAAACAGGCGAGTCTCAGAGTGAGTTATTTGTTACTGGATGAGTCTCTGTAAATGGCTTCGAAATTAGCTAATTATACAAGGTGGTACCGCCCAATATGATTGATTTTAATCGGGTCTGTAATCGTTTGAGCTCTGAGACAAGCGAGTTTCAGAGTACATTCTTGTTGTTGCTGTTGTTATTGAATGAAGTCTTTTAACAAAACTACTATAAGAAATTAAATTAAAGCAGAAGCGTGAACTTCATATAATTTAAAAATATTCAACTCAAATCAAGTAAATATTGATCTTGGACTCCAATGAATGCGATGAATATGGATATGGATATTATTTGTATAGAGCTTAGTAACCGTGAAGAAGTAAGTAGAAAGGGAAGGAAGACATGATAGGTTTTGGTTTAGTCTTAATATACGTGTTTACCGAATAGCAGGTGGATAGAAATTGTGATACTATTTGTGGGAGCACATTGTCCACGGTATCAATGTCCTTCGCAAAGCGACTTAGTATACGGCCCAATGGTGTCGTATCAAATAATTCCATTGGCCATTTGAGCACCATATGTATCAGTTTGTTAAACACCGCCAGGGAACAGTGCAGACCACCTATGGCCAGGGCGAGGCCCGCCAAATAGCGCGACAAAACTGCATATCGAACATTTTAAGGTTAATCGATAAAGCTAGCTCTTAAAATCGATAACAAATAAATATACACATTTATATAAGTCTAAAAGGAAAGGGGTATCCATGCTATACATGCGAGCCATATCTAAATGATTGTAGATAAATTACATAATCTACTTAATGTACAATTTACACAAATCACGGGGTCCGTTAGTTAGCATAGTTATATATATATATACAAGATTCAGATTACGTAGAGCCGTATTAGTTGCACTGGACATAGATTGGAGATGGTGCATGAATTGGAATTGGGTTTGGGTTTCTTTAAAATTCTAATAGATTTACTTCCAATTTGAAATGAAGACTTTGTGCTCTTTGATTAGTAATTTCGGCAGGCCTACCTATACTTAGTATTAATAGACTTCCCAAATTCATACTATAGATTGAGAGATGTAATACAAATAGATTTTCTATAATAACTCTCCGGTTTTTTATGAATAACATCTAATTCTATTCGAAACTGGTTTTAAGAAGGTAACTTTAGTAAAGTCTCCACAAAAAGTACAGTTGTGTTTGTGATGTGTGTTGGAATAACATAAGGCCAAGAACATTTACCGAACTTGCACAAAATATAGCGATTCGCCATAGCAGTGGCATTGTGGTATCAACAACATTAATATCTTTCGAGAAACGATTCAGTATTCGGCCTTGGGGCGTCGTCTCAAACATGTACATGGGCCAACGCATAACGCTATAAAGGAGTATCGAATGCAATATTATGGCGGCTCGCATACAACCAACTGCCAATATAAGGCAGGACCCACAAAATGCAAGAACTAAGGTAATGAAGGTCAGGAAGGATAGAATTTCATAAACATTAGAATCAGCTGAGCAAAGCAAAGTGGAAAAAGCGTGTTTATATAAGCACTATAAGCATATATTGTATATATAAAATAGATAAGCGTAACTCAGTCCTAAGAATACAGAATACAGCAATTCTCCAGGGGGCGAATCCCCTAATATTCCCTGGTAATCCTAGCCATTGCATTATCAACAGATCTGATCTACCGAAAAGGTAGAATTTCCCGGCTAACTGACATAGTCTATCAACAAATAATATTGTTAATTTTTCGAGGTGTACCATGTGCTTCTAATGAAATGTGAATAGATGTTAGAGATGTGAGATGGAATATGGGAAATTACCGCAAAGAGTTGGCTAATTGCGACGCGTAGATTGAGAGGTAAGGTTGTATCACAGGTATCGACATCCTTGGAAAAACGGTTCACAACGCGACCAATGGGTGTTATGTCAAACAATTCCATGGGCCAACGCATAACGAATCGCACAAGGGTATTGTGCAAATACTCGGCGCTATAAATGCAGCCCAGCGACAGGGCGAGGGTCGAAAGGAAACTGCTCGTAACTACATTCGGGTAGAAAGGATCAAACAGATCAATATACAACTACACCGACCACAAAAGGACACAATGGCAAAGGCAGAGACAATAATGTGTATGAAAGCAAGTGATGTAACGAAATATTAGCTGATTCGATATCGATAGAGGGTGGTGTGGGGGTGCGTGGGGTAGAGTAAAGTACGTTAGTTAGTTATGGGTGGAGTCTATCGAAAATTGTTTACCATGTAGATCTGTGACAGGACGACACGTATATTAAATGGCAGTACATTATCGATGGTATCGATATCTTTCGAAAATCGATTAACAATACGTCCCAGTGGCGTCGTATCGAACAACTCCATCGGCCAGCGCAAATTCGCATGCAGCAGAGCGTTGTGCATGGTGCGCGAGCACTGAAGACCCGCCAATGAGCCAGCGAGCGATGCGAAATATGTCAATCCGACTACAAATTTTGGTGCGTTTTTTTTTTTTTTTTAAATAGAACAAGAAACACAAAGCTCTTAAGTATAAAATACACAGAAATTAAAATGCACACAGACATTCCCCCACAGGGAAATTGTTAAGACATTTTTTAATCACATTTTAAGATTAGGCATGCTCTGAATTGAATTTGTACATTGGGATTGGCTCTGAACGAGGTTTGAATATTTACAACTTTTCTTAGTTTTTAATGATTTCTTTTTATAAGAATAGATCATAACAGTCGTTAAGTAGCTACACAATCGTTTCATTTCAGCGTTCTAAAATCTTTTGCCCTATCGAAGTGCTATCTGACAAAAACTGACTGTAACTAGTTTGCGATAATTGAACCGTTATTTCCATTCATTTCATGCCTAATTGAAGTGCTGTGCCAACTGTATAGACTTAAGGCGTGTGAATTTAGCAAATGAGTGCAAATGAACAGGTGTTATCCATTGTTAAATACATATTAAGTTGTATATACATTCTACGTATACAT